TTATTATTATTATCAACATTATTATATCTCTCTTTCAGGAATCAATGAAGCTGATGGGACTTAAATCCAGTTCATTATGGATATCATGGTTCTTGACAAGCATGCTCTTTCAAATTATGGCAATCTTAATCTACTCCGCGATTATGAAGGTAAGTATGCCCCTTTTTTATTACACACCACTGCCTAAATATTTTTTTTAAAAAGCTTCGCTCTTTGAAAAACATAAACTTACATTAAAAAACAAAAAAACGAAAAAGACACACAAACAAACACAAGAATGTAAAATCGTTTGATCAGAAAAGTTGGCGCGAAAATGAAACGTCACCATCATGATCAGTTCATTTCTTTCCTTTCCCATATGGTTTAGTTTTGTGATTTGATACATTGTTCTGCATAAGGTGTAAATACTATCAAATACACATGGTTCGGTATTTACATGCAATACCATATGTGAGGCAGCGCGCTGGAATCAGGCTCTCGTCAAAATAATCAAAGTGAAGAAACTCGCAATTTTCCTCAAGTTTATGAATTTTTATCAAATTGTTGTTTTTTGCCTTGAATTTATCTTGAATACAAGTTGAGATATTTGCGAAAGAAGGAGGTGGGGGTCACCTGTTTTCGGAGATAAAATTAGTGAGAAAATGATCGCTAAAAATTAGTTATTTGCTTAGCTTAAGAATCCGTGGTAACTGAAAATTTACATTTTTTTGTGCTTTTCATGAACAATCCACACAGAAATGAGTTCTTTAATATGCATGAAAGGTGTTGAGCCAAAAAAACAGAAATTTGATACAAATTCACGAACCTGCGGAAGAATGCCTGTTTCTTCATTTTGATTATTTTGACGAGAGCCTGATTCCACCACGCTGCCTCACATATTATCCTGCTCCAACCCAACATCCCCTACCCATTGCCAACTCCCAACCAAATCCCCCCTGTCAAAAGTTACCCTATTGTATGCCCAGACCGTCACAATTAACCTTATATGTATACCTACACCGTTAGAGTTAACCCTATAGGTGTTTCCCAGACTGTCACAATGAACCCTATATTTATTCTCCAGACTGTCACAATTAACCCTATATTTTTTCTCCAGACCGTCACAATTAACCCTAATTACATCACAATATGTATGCCCCGACAGTCACAATTAAACCCATATGTATGCCCCAACAGTCACAATTAACCCTATATGTATGCCCCGACAGTCACAATTAACCCTATATGCATGCCCAAACCGTCACGATGAACCTTATATAAATAAACCCTAAACATTCCTCAGACCGTCACAATTAACACAATATGTACTCCCCAGACCGTCACAATTAACCCTATATGTATTCCCCAGACCGTCACAATTAACGCAATATGTATTCCCCAGACCGTCACAATTAAACCTATATGTATTCCCCAGACCGTCACTATTAACCCTATATGTATTCCCCAGACCGTCACAATTAGCCCTATATGTGTTCCCACAGATAGCAGACGTATTTCCAAAATCGGATTTCAGCGTGTTTATGCTCTTGATGCTGTGCTATACGCTCGCAGTGACCTCCTTCTGCTTCATGATCAGTACCTTCACACAGAAAGGTGAGTCCGAGTGACTCTCTCTCCATCTCCTAATTCCCTCATTCTCTCCCTCTCTTTCTCTCTCTCTCTCTCTCTCTCTCTCTCTCTCTCTCTCTCTCTCTCTCTCT